CCCAAAACCCCAAAACCCCAAAACCCCAAAACCCCAAAACCCCAAAACCCCACTACTTAAAGTTTTGTTTGAATAAGATATTAAATTAACTTAAGACAATATGACCACAGTCGAAAACTATAAACTATACAAAACACTAGGTGAAGGTGCCTTTTCAAAGTAGGTTTTTCCTTTCAAAATTTCTGGAAAACATCCCAGCTAAGGAAAATCATTCTAATTTCCACTATAGAGTTAAATTAGTAAAAGATGAACACGGCAGCAAATTTGCTATGAAGATAATGAAAAATCAGCCAAAGGACAAGAAGAAGGATGCTAAAGCAACCTTCTTAAATGAGGTTTTTGCGATGAAGGAACTCGATCACCCAAACATTCTCAAGCTAGTTGACTACAATACTGATGCTAAGGCCATCAGAGCCGATGGCTCTAAACTCAAGCTCCAGTATATGGCTATTGAGTATGCAGAGGGTGGTGAACTGTTTGACTTTATATCAGACACCGGAAGATTCTCTGAAGAGCATGCTCGCTACTTTTACCATCAGCTCATCGATGCTCTGGAGCACATGCATGAGAAGGGGTACAAACATAGAGACATCAAACCAGAAAACATTCTCTTGGACAAGAAATTTCAGCTAAAGTTGGGAGACTTCGGCTTCGCAACCAAAGAGGAAATGAGCCATACCAGAAAAGGAACCTATGGGTACATGGCTCCTGAAGTTCTTGCTAAACAGCCATACAGAGGAGAAGAGGCTGATTTATTTGCATCAGCTGTGATCCTTTTCATCCTAGTCACTGAACACCCTCCCTTCCTCAGGGCAGAGACTAGTGATAGGTACTATAAATTAATTGCAAGTGGCAGATGGGAGGAATTCTGGGACATCGACTCTGACCTACCACTTTCAAAAAGTTTCATTGATTTCTTCACCCGGATGGTGAGCCTCGATCCTGTTGAGAGGATGACCCTCTCTGAGCTCAAAGCTCATGAGTGGTTTAATGGTCCCGTCCCCAGTGACAAAGAAATTTACGAAAGCTTCAAGAAGAGGAGAAAAATCATCAAGAAAAATCAAAAGAAAGATTCGCATGACAAGAAGAAGGACCACATAGAAGAGAATAAGGCTCAATACGATGTGAAGTACACAAAGTTCTATGTAGTTGACAATGCAGAGACTCTCGTCGATTACGTCGTGGCATGAGCTGAAGCTAATCGAATCGATTATGAAAAATCCAAAGAGTTCTTCAGAGTCGAAGTTAAGATCAACTCAGATGATGCCAGTTCTCACATTATGATTAATGTGCTTAAAAAGCCTGAAAATGCTGATAGATGCTTAGAATTTATTAAAATTTCAGGGAGTAAGACCATTTTTGAATCGTTGTTCGCGGAATTTAAAGAATTTTGCGATAAAGAGATCAAATAATCCAGTAAAAGTCAAGAGCTTTACTGACAAACAGAGCGATATAATTCACTCTTTGTAACATATTAATTTATCCTACCATTTCAATTAATATTCGAAAGTTTCAATTTCATTATGAATAATTTCAATTTTCAGAATTTTCAATGTGTAAATTAGACCAGGGGTTTTGGGGTTTTGGGGTTTTGGGGTTTTGGGGTTTTGGGGTTTTGGGGTTTTGGGG